CTACAGGCGCCCACCACCATGCCCGGCTAATTTTTTGTATTTTTAGTAGAGACAGGGTTTCACCATGTTAGCCAGGATGGTCTGGATCTCCTGACCTTGTGATCTGCCCGCCTTGGCCTCCCAACGTGCTCGGATTACAGGCGTGAGCCACCGCGCCTGGCCACAACTTTACTTTTTCAGTTGTCTAAGCTCCCATGAATACATGGGGAAAAAGTAAAATATCATTCAGATTTCCAGACTAAAAAGTTATGATACCTTTGAAACATTTTCCTTCGTGCGGTAAGCACAGTTGGGCATTGGTTGTGCAGGTACACCTCGTTTTGTTGCGCTTCCCTTTATTGCACTTGGCAGATACTGTGTTTTTTACAAGTCGAAGGCTTATGGCAACCCTGCATCAAGCAAATCTGTCAGCGCCATTTTTTCAACAGCATTTGGTGCTTCTGTGTGTCACATGTTGGTAATTGTTAGACTATTTCAAACTTTTTCCATGACTATATCTGACAGTGATTTGTGATCAGTGATCTTTGATGTTACTATTATAATTATTTTGGGGTGTCGCAAACTGAAGACGGCAAACTCGATTGATAAATGTGTGTGTTCTGACTGCTCCACTGACTGGAGCCTTCCCCATCTTCCTGTCTTTAGGCCTCCCTATTCCCTGAGCCATTTAGTTACCCTACAATGACCTCTACATGTTGAAGTGAAAGGAAGAGTCACATGTCTCTTACTTTAAAAATCTAGAAATGATCAAGCTTAGTGAGGAAGGCATGTCAAAAGCCAGGATAGGCCATAGGCTCTTGAGCCAGTTAGTCAAGTGGCAAATGCAAAGGAAAAGTTCTTGAAGGAGATTAAAAGTTCCGCTGTAGTGAACACACGAGTGATGAGAAAGCGGAACAGCCTTATTGTTGTTGATATGGAGAAAATTTCAGTTGTTTGGATAGACCAAACCATCCACAACATTCCCTTACGCCAAAGCCAAATCCAGATAAGGCCTTTTAATTCTGTGAAAGCTGAGAGAAGTGAGGAAGCTACAGAAGAAAAGTTGTAAGCCAACACAAGTTGCTTCATGAGGTTTAAGGAAAGAAGTCATCTCCATAACATAAAAGTGAAGGATGAAGCAGCAAGTGCTCAGCAGAAGCTGCAGCAAGTTCTCCAGAAGCTCTAGATAAGATCATTGATGAAGGTGGCCACACTAAACAACAGATTTTCAGTGTAGATGAGACAGCTTTATACTGGAAGAAGGTGCCATCTGGGACTCCCATAGATAAAGAGGAGGAGTCAGTGCCTGGCTTCAGAGCTTCAGAGGACAGGCCAACTCTCTTGTTAGGGGACAACTGCCACTGGAGACTTCAGGTTGAAGCCAGTGCTCATGTATCATTTGAAAATCCTAGGGCACTTAGGAATTATGCTGAATCTACTTTGCCTGTCTATAAATGGAACAACAAAGCCCCAATGATAGCACATCTGTTTACATCATGGTTTACTGAATATTTTAAGTTCATTATTGAGACCTGCTCAGAAAAAAATTATTCCTTTCAAAATACTACTGCTGATTGGCAATGTACCTGGCTACCTAAGGCCTCTGATGGAGATGTTCAAAGATACTAGTTTCCATAGTTTCCATGCCTGCTCACACACGTCCATTCTGCAGTTCTGCAGCCCGTGGATCAAGGAGTAATTTTGTTTTCATGTCTTATTACTTCAGAAATACATTTCATAAGACTATAGCTGCCATAGAGAGTGGTTCCTCCAATGGATCTGGGTAAATAAATTGAAAATATTAATTCAAATAATGGAACCCATTTCACTGCACATATCGTTAAGAAATTAGCCCAAGCACTAGACATAATGTGGGAATACCATACTCCTTGGCACTCACCTTCATCAGGAAGAGTAGAAAGAATAAATCAAACTCTGAAGAGTCACTTAACCAAATTAGTCTTAGAGACTCAGTTGCCGTGGACTAAATGCCTTCCCATTGCCTTGTTAGGAATCTGAACCACCCCTCAAAAAGATGTTGGCCTATCCCCATATGAGATGCTCTATGGGTTGCCCTATTTACACTCCTGCTGACATTTCCACGTTCGAAACAAAAGATCGGTTTCTCAGACATTATGTACTTGGTTTATCTTCCACTTTCTCTTCCCTTAGAACTAAAGGTCTTTTAGCACAGGCACCATCCCTGGAGTTCCCAGTACATCAACATTAGCCTGGGGATCATGTCCTCATCAAAAACTGGAAGGAGGAAAAGCTTGAACTGGCCTGGGAAGGACCTTACCTAGTGCTCCTAACAACTGAAACCGCAGTCCAGACAGCAGAAAAAGGATGGACCTATCACACCCAAGTCAAGAAAGTGCTCCCCGCTCCAGAGTCGTGGGCCATAGTCCCAGGGGAAAACCCTACCAAACTAAAGCTAAAAATTTTTGTTTGTTTGTTTGTTTGTTTTGAGACAGAATCTTGCTCTGTCGCCCAGGCTGGACTGCAGTGATGCGATCTTCACTCACTGTAACCTCCACCTCCCGGGTTCAAGCAATTCTCCTGCCTCAGCCTCCCCAGTAGCTGGGATTACAGGTGTGTACCACCACGCCTGTGTAATTTTTGTATTTTTAGTAGAGACGACTATTTATTTAACGACTCATTCATCTGTTAAGCTGGCTGGAGTCAAACCCATGCATACATCACACTTGGGTAAAAATCACCCCTCCCCAACCTGACACGGCAGACAATCAACCTGGTTGGACTTGTGAGCCAACTGGAGAACTGAAGCTACTGCTTAAGAAAAATCTTTTTGTACTATAAGATGAAGTTTCTGTTAGTCCTTATCATAATGAGTAAACTTTTTTGACATCTGCTAAAACTAGTCTATTTCTACAGTGGGTACAACATTATGCAGCTAGTCTACACTAAGATGCTTGCTGGGTATGTGGATTGCTACCTATCTCTAGCACTTCTGGGCTACTTTAGTGAGTATCACCCCTGCAGGGAACTGATGAGATACATTTACAAACCTATATGAAAAATTGTTCATGGGAAAATCAGGACCTTGGTACCTTAAGGTATTATTTTTTTAAAATGGCCTGGCATTAATATAACACCTCAGAACCCAGATCCTGGAAAACTCTTTGTTATAACCGGACTATCCAAAGGGCC